GATCCGCTTGTAATAAAAATAAATAATATTTATTCATAAAATGACAATTAGTATTTTTCTAAAAGCTTGTCATTTTTTATATATGTATGCGCGAGTAAGAAAAAGAATTAAAAATTTTTTAATGCATCCAATTTATTGCTTTATTGTAGGAATTAACAACTAATGCATTATATAAAATCAGTACTTTATTATATTATTAATTTATGTAAATATATAAGAACTTGAACTACGGCATGAGGGAATTGGTTTAGATGTTTCTAATCTGAAAGTAATATCTTGAATCCAGCTTATGTGACTGGAGATACGTGTATAAAGAGAATATGAATGACTATTACAACTTCTAATACCACCCGATAGCGTTTCACCAAGTCCGATACTAACAATACCTCTTAAAAACCACAAATTTCCAGTTAGAAATACCAATCCTCCACCACTATCGCCATCACACACAGATGTTCCTAAAATATATACATTGATCATTTAATATAATTTATAGATGTATTTGATCTAACGTATTCATTTTTATTACTAACCATTTGTATAACCAGCACAAAATTTGTCAATTGTTATAAATTTCTCAGACTGTACAGTATTTCCTACAGATTTGCATTGATTAAGAGGAACATATGGAAGTGTTACGGATTGTAGAATAAAACTTGATGACCCTAAAGCTGTTCTACCGAATCCTGCAACAACCCCTTGTCCAGATTCAATATAAGATTGATCCAAACATGCTGGTAATAACAAAGCTGAGAATACAAATGGCACGTCAATCTCTAAGAGAGCTATGTCCCAAGCATAATTTCCTTCTAAGCCCAAATAATTACAATTGACATAAATGCTTTTCACCTGAAAAATGATACATAAATAAATTTTACGATTAAAATATTATTTAAAGACATTGAACATTTTATACTTTAATATAAAATTAATTTTTTAACTTTCCATACCTTAGCCTTTTTAACGAAACGCGGATCGTGTAACGCATAATCATAATCACGAAAAATATTTCCAGTTGCTATATAATATCTTTTTGGATCATTTATTCTGTTATTTGTTTCATCAAAAACACAATGAGCTGCCGTAATAAGGAAATTCTCTTTTATAATTGTCGCTCCACAAATAAATTCCTTTGGTCCATCTAGACTTTTTGTTTCATATAAAGTAGCATGCCATGGAAATAGAGAAATATTAGCAGCACCGCCATGTACAATGAGAGGTTTTGTGCTTGGAGTAACAACTCCGCATACTAAAAAATGTATTGACATTAAAATTATTATATACGTAATTCGAATAAATGTACAAAATTTATAATTAAAAATGATAATTTTTTAACAATGTCGTAGTACATAATATTTAATATATTATTTAATATAGTAATTAATTTAATATAGTAAGAGATAATTCACAGTTGCTATCTTAAGCAGCATACAATTGATGGGATCAAATGATAGGTTTTAAGTGGGGATTTATGTATTTTAATTTATTTATGATAGTATTTTAATTATTTCTAATAGTTATTCTATCTAATAGATATTTAACTAGTGAGCGGATTTTTCACAAATTAAATAAATTAAAAATATTATATTTCATATTTCATAAATAAATAAAATCTAATATTATTTGACTAAAGCTTTCAAAATGTTGTACTTATAAGTTAATAATTATAATATTTTTACGTGAATTATCTCAAATCGTTTGACAATCAAATTTGAAAAAATATATCACGATATAAATTGTGTTGAATTCTAAGGAAGTATCTAGCATAATATTTTTTTAAACATATAATTGGCAGCATTTAAGATTACATCCATACATATTTGGATTCTTCTGGTTCTTTTGAAGCCTTGTTTGGGTTAAGTATTCTAACATCAATTTCAGAATTATTCGAATTACGAGTATTTGCGTGTATTATAACTTTTTCAGGGAAAATTTCTATTACAGGAGAAAGGGATTGATTTTGTTCATTAGTTTGTAATGTTACGCTGCCACCCCCAATATGAACATTAATAACTAGCGGACCTGGAATACATTGTAATGGTTCTGGTTCCCATTGACCTCTTTCGTTACATGTAACTTGATCTCTTTGTCTTGATAAAAATATCGTATCTTCACGATAGCTGTTGCGACAATTCAATGTTGCAACTGTTCCAGGCAAAACGGGAGATTCACAAATTGTCCATTGACCATTATATGTACATTTAGCATTTGTTGATGCTGAAGCCAATGATTTACAACGTATTTCTAAAATGATGAAATATGCATTTAGATAATAATGAAAAATCTGATGAAAGCATTATACATATACATATATTTTTATATGTATATATTCGTATATTTTTTGCTATAATAATGCTTAATATATAAATCTTACCAGAACAAATTGGAATATTTAACCATTTTCCTTCTGGACCACAAAATACATCAGAGGAACCACTTATTTTATAACCAGAATTACAGGTATAAATCAAATAAGCCCCCTTGGATAGTTGTACACCTTCTTGCACATCACAATTTTCTTCTGTTTGGCATTGCGACTTATGTAATTTTCGTTTACCATTTGCTGGCTGCGGAGGTACCAAACAATAATTTGATTCCTGTGGATTCCAAGGGGGAAGTGTCGATGTCGTACCCCTTGAAGGAGGTATAAATGGTATAGATGTAGTAGTAGTAGTAGTAGTAGTCATATTTGAACACAATGTTTTATCCTCATCTGATCCATCCGCACAATTTATTATACCATTGCACTTTAAATCACCATCTATGCAAGCACCATAGTTGCAACGAAATAAATACGATTCACAGCTACAAAATATCAATATCAGCAAACGATAATATTAAAAACATATTATAATTGAATAATTTAATAAATGTAATAACGTTCTCTCACTTCATTGATTTACATGCAGAAAATGTTTCATCAGAGCGATCTTTACAATCGACTTTACCATCACACAGTTTTACTAAATCGATGCATTCACCATTATTACATTGGAATTGATTACTGGAACAATTTATGGAGGTTGTAGTATTATACAAGTTATTCGAACATGAATCCAATGTTTCATCGCTGTTGTCAATGCAATTTCGTATTCCATTACACGTTAGATCGCCATCAATACAGGCGCCATAATTACATCTAAATGCATATGGCGAACATACTAATTGAGATTTAGAACATTCAGACTGCGTTTCATCGGATTGATCTTTACAATCTGCTGCTCCATCGCACAAAAATTCGCTTGATATACACTCTCCATCATGACATTGAAATTCTCCAATTCTGTAAAAGATATTAAAAAATATAATACATATATATATATATATATATATATATATATATATATATATATATATATAAATAATTTTCCAGATATTTTTTACTCACCTACATTTCCCTCTTTGTTGCGTAGATACAATATTTAAGAAGGCTATGAAATTAAAGCAATCATTTAACTATCTGATCATTTTTTAAATATGTAATAAAAAATTACATATAATATTAATTTAATTTAAAAATAACTTGTTAAATAGATCATTATCAAATTGATGTTTATACACATTATTTCTGTCTATATTATATATATATATATATATATATATATATATATATATATTTATGCATACACATATATATATATATAATATAAAAATATATTTTATAATAATTTGTTAAAATTAAATAAATATGAATTTATCAAAAAAATAAAAGCCATATGATAATGATTACAATACAGTATTCGACTAATAGTATTTCGAATGTCTATCTTCTGTAGATAAATGTAAGATTCCTCTCTGAGTTCAAGGACATTCTCCACAGTTATGAACGAAACTGGTTTTTGATTCTTTAGTATCAAGATGCATCGTAAATACATTCGTGCATTAATTAATGTCGATTGTTTTATTATTAATTGTGCATTAACGATATATAATAACAAATATTTTTCATTTGAATAACAACGAACAAAATATTTTTTCTATATCGTACGTATATCTACAAAATTTATCAAATTTTTGTTATTGAATTTAATTTATAAAATAATATTTGCATGTAATACAAAATTGTTTAAAAAAAAAATATATATATATATATATATGATACTTTAATAAACAAATTAAATTATGTTAAAGATCAGAATGTTTTCAGAATAACAAATGTCAATCGGGATTTCCAGTATGATAAAACTTTTCAAGAATTCTTTCGAATTATCGACGTTCCAATCTTTATGTTGTGTGTCTATATATATATATATATATATATATATATATATATATATATACATATACATATATATATATATATATATATATATATATTCAATTTAACGCATGTATACACTAGTACATATAAATATTAATTCATATACATATTAAATTATAAGGAAAATTTATATAAAAAGAGTAAGACGTAATAAAAAAAAATCTGTCTATCGAAATATAAAACAAATACAAAAGATATGTATTACTTACCGAAAAATGTATTTAGAAAGAAATACCTCCTATCGATTTTCATAATAACCAAAAAAAAAAAAAAAACGTAACTTCAAATCGCAATAATACTAAAAGATAGAGAGAGAGAGAAATAGAGTGAGAGTCCGTTTCGTGCTGTTGCTGTCATCAACTAGGATCCACCACTGATCGTGTATCGACCCGGAATTACCCGTTGAGTATGTGAGCTTGTATGTGTGATATACGTATATCGATGAACGCATACCATCAATATCGTGTACCATACATAAAAGAAGGAAATAAACGTAGAAATAATGAAGTTCTACGCTATAATGAGAATTCTAAGAAAATCATTTAAAATCAATTTGATAAGATTGGTTAAATATATGTTACTTAAGTTATAATTTCAATTTCATCTGGTATTTTTTTTCTTTTCTCTTCCTTTTTTTTTTCTCTTTTCTTTTTTTGAACGTATCACCACAACATCAATTTGGGAAATAGGTGAGAATTCGTTTGAAAATAATTTTTGTTGAAACATCCATTCTTTTTCTTTTTTTTTTCCTTTCTTTCTTTTTTCCTGTTTTTTACAGATTGTTATTGTGATTATACATAATCATAAATGTAATTAATATTTATAATTAGTTGATGACGCATAAAAAATATATCTATATAATGGAAAGAGAATTATAGATATTAATATGCAATTGATTCTTCTCTGACTGAAAATGAATGCAAGGGAAGACTGGCAAGCCAGTTCAACGTTCTATGATGTTATTATAGTTAAGGTAGCGATATTAGAAGAGAAAAAAAAAATATTATTCCATTTTTTTTTGTATTTCAAATATTTAAATAAATTACTTTAAAAGGATACGTCTGGTTTGTTACTTCTGTATTTACAATGTGTTTCACTATGTATTCCGATTGAAATTTTTCTACTTCTTCCTCACATTCTTTCCAATCTAAAGGTTCATGTATGCCATCTGAACCATACCTTGTATTATAATAATCGTAATGTACCTGAAAAAACAAAATTTCGCATGGTTTTGTATCGTCCATTACTTATGGAATAAAATTCAGAAATTAATTTCCTTACATAATTTAAGGATAAACCTAAACTGGGAGCTAATGGTATATCCATCTTTTCATCTTTAAATGCCTGTTTCAAAGAATCTTCTGTCGCCATGTTTCTTAAAAATGCGATAACCATAGAAATCATTTTTCTGATTTGATGCAACATGAAACTTTGACCTTTAATTTCTATTATTACAAATTCTATATTTTCTGAGATAAATGTATCTACACATTGAAATTTAATTATATAACGTTTTGCCCGTGGATCTAATGGCTTTCTGCGAACAAATAAAACATTAAACAAAATTTTTATAAAACAATATACGTGTAATTATTTAAGATAAATAACTTACACTTTTGATGTAAAATTATGAAAATTATGAGTTCCTTGAAAAAGTTTCATAAATGAATTTATTTTTTCCAAAGTTTCTGGTTTTAATCGAAAGTCAATATATGGTTTTCCTTCGATCACCGATAATTCTTTCATCCGTTTTTCTACATCGCATTCTTCTCGAGAAGGTAATGAGGCCTTATCCTCTTCAACAAATGCAAATGAAGGAATGATATATCTATATGTTCTACCACTGCAGTTACTTTTACTATTGAAACCTTTTGTAACGCGTTTGATACCAAATACTTTAATTTCATTTGGTAAGCAATCATTTATACTATCTTTAGATACAGTTTCAGCTAAAATGGACAATATTATTCATTTAAACTTTGAAGGTATAATCATGAAAAATTTTCTTTATGATATATCGATAATTAATAAAAATATATATCTTACGTAGCTTCAGAGAAACGACTTGTCTAGCGGCCGATACTCCTTTGTCTGTTCTTGCAGCTCTTTGAAAATTAAAGGATCTTAAATTTTCAATATTTTCCGTAGTTACCAAGTTATTCTTTAGCAATGCATTTAATAAATCATCCTCGATAGTTTTCATTCCAGGATTTATTTGCATTCCATAATAATCTCTACCAAGATAACCCATCATTAATGCGTAAGCCCTTCTTTTAATCTTTACCACATTTACTTTTTGAATCTTTACAGCACTGTCTTCATCTTCGTCAACTCTTAATCTTTTGTTGTTTGGATTATTTAAATTTGGTTCTGGGTTAACAGTTTCAATTTGAATCGACATATTTCTATAATTATAGACACCTAAAAAAAATTTTTAATGAATAAAATAATTCTATAACACGTTGACATATCGAATTATTTACCTAATACACGGGTTATTTGTCGCAACACGTTGTAACTACAAGTTGCACAATTCTTTATGCAATACAACATTTGCAATTAAATTTTTATCAAAAATTACAAATATGAAATATAAGTACTTTATTGTAATATTTCCAATGAATATTTAGCAAACATATATTTTCAAATACGAATTAAAATACATTCTTAGGTTATGATTCTTAACTTTCTTCGTTACATACATTCGTATCAATTGATGATCCATAGATAAAATATAACGTAGATGTGAAACTAAGGAATTTGAAAAATTTACATTTACCATAAGAAAAAAAGGGCACTTCTCTTTTTACCTTTTTCAAAAATTCTCTGAAAATTCAAATAAAGCAAATTAATTGAAAATAATAAAAATTAAATTGTATTAGAATTTTAAATGTTCGTCTTCTATCGATTCTATCGGGCAATCGCAAATATCGATTGATCGAATTTTATCTCATTTGAAGATTATCTACGAAGATTCTTTTTTAATGGAAAAATAATTTACCCTAAAGTATCACTTAAACAAATAATAATATTATTTTATTTATATCATATAATTTAGTAAACACTTAACATTTAATACAAAACAGATCGATTATATTATACTTTGACTTTAATAAATATAATTTATATAAAATACATGAAAGGATTTATCAAAGTATAATTATATATAGTATAATTATTTATGATTATGATTTAATAAACTCCCACGAATCTATAAATATGATATATACAATCAATATTAAATTAATATATGTTAGGATAAAAAAAAATGACTTTCTACATTTATTAATCTTCTTCTTGAATACATTTTTCTACCAAATCCCTTAAATTTGGATTTTCCATAGCAGCTGCTATTCGTTCTTTATCATTTATTTGTTTATTAACTGCAATCAAATTAAAAATATTAAATAATATAACATCTTAAATTGAAATTCATTTTCAACAACTAAATGTTGAAGGTTCTAATGTTAAAAGTTCTAAAGTTATTGTAATATATAAAATTTGATGTACGTACTTTCTTGTTCTGTAGAATGTGTACCCTCTTTGATAAAAATATCCAATTTAAATATTGCTACTAGATGCCGTTCAAGTTTTACTCTGATACATAATCCTATAAGTGTTGCTAACGAACAATGTGGCACTGTTGGATTAAATTCAACCCGTATTACAGAAATACCACTTGGAGTACTTTGACAAATGTTAACACAATCTTCATATATTACATCGAGCTGTTCTAAAGTTTGTGGTTTCTCCGGGTCCTTAATGGTTCTTAACAAATCTAAGAATAAAAAAGATAAACACATTAAAAATTATACAATTGTATTGCATCAATTTATTAAATATTTATTCCTTTATAATGAGAGATACAATGATATGGCAAAATTATAAATTCCAAATGTAAAATAAATGTTTATAATTAATAATAACACCATAAATTGTTTTTCTACATTGCATCATAATTAAATGATTTTGGTTATAATCGATATAATTGTCACAATTATAAAACATAATTAAAATTTACCATAAACGGATTCTTTCAATTCTAAGTCTGTCTTCAGTGCAAAAGCATTTTGATCCTTTAAGTTTACGACGTCTGTCGTTCCCATGATTGTTTCTGGAAGCATACCATCTCTAATCTTCCAACCAATTGATAACTTTCGAAAAAATGATAACATATTTATTCACAATCAATGTTGTATAACAGCATACTGTAAATAATCAGTGGTTATAAATAATTGGTATAAAGGTTATGTTCTAAATTAGTTACCGATCGAAGCGAATGTATACAGCACCATCTTATGTACAGAAGATGAAATATATTTTTATGAATTTTTTTTTTAAATATTTGTATATCCCATTATATTTTATTTTTTTTTTTATTATATCTCAAAGCTTAATACTATAACAATAGTCATTAAACAAAATCACGTTTAAAATCACATTAAAAATATAAAATGAACACTCCTTTGAAAAATAAGATAACACATTAAATATTATTTCACATATTTTCAGCTTGTACCAATACTTTTTTCTTTTGTATAGGGGTAGATGTTTTTAAAGATTTCTGAGGTGAAGGTAAACCTATATAATAAATAATATATATATATATACATATAAAACCTGTATATAATTTGAATTTAATCTAATAAAAATATTATTTGAATTCATACCAGCTACACCTAAGTTCCTTAATCGTTCTTCGATATCATCTAATTCTTCTTTATTATTTATATTAGATGTTGACTCAAGCACATCATCATTATTCATTAATTCTGAAAGTTCTTTTTCTAAATCTGAATCTGATTCAAAATCAGCATTCGGTAATATTTCTGATAATGTAGATTGTACATCTTTATAATTTTCTAAGGCCTGAAACATTTTACAAATCAAATTTAAAATTGAAGCATTGCAATTTTATTTCTATGAAATAATTAATAAATTTCTAAATTTGGGATACCTCATTTAGATCATCCATAACATCTCTGACTTTATACTCTGTTAATCCCTTTTCTTCGAATTGGGACAATACATTAGAACCAAGTTTAAAAGCATCGACAGCACTACTGTTCGAATGTGTATCTTGAATACTTAATATAAGAGCACGCAAATTTCCAAGTATTTGCGCACGCTTTTCGATTGTTTTTTCTATTTCATTCTTTTTTCTTAGATGAGTTTTTGCTACCTGTTTTAATTCTTTTGCCAGACACGTTTTAACTTTATCCATAATAATAATTTTTTCCTTCTCCAATAATTCAATTTCTCTTTCAAATTTACTTTCTTGATTCAATAGCTTGTATAATGTCTCATCTATTTCTGAAATTTCGTATATAGTTTGTGTAGAAAATTTAACTAATAATTCATTGTTGATAGAGCTTTTTTTCAAAACTGCTTTTTTATGATGTTTAAGCCAAATCAACGCTAGCTTCAAAGTATTTTCACTGATATCAGAATACGTTTCTTCTTTTTTACATTTTTCAAGTATTTCAGTTATAGAAATAAGAATATTATCATTTTCATTGACTATAGTAGAAAGTATTTGTTCGGCTATTTCTTTTACTGCTTTTAAATGTACGTATCTGGTGTTTATATCTATATTTTGTCCTATTACGTAATCCTTCATTTTGTAATAAGACCATGTAAGCGGTTTTTTAATAAATACATCCAAAGACCATGTAGTCCAGGAATCACTTGGTTCTTTTAAGAATTCTTCTTCCAATACTATTTCTCTATTCCTGATAAACAAATATAAGATATATGTAACAACATCTCTTTAAGATTCTTTGTAATTATTCTAAATTATTAAATATACAATTATATTTACCTTAGCATTTCTTGGGTAACTGTTGTCAGGCACAGAGGGCTGCATCCTTTACGTTTAAAAATTTCATTCAAATCGAAAATAGAAAAACTACATTGCATTGTATGCTTTAACCATACATATATAAGATTATTCCAAAATTTGTATTTTGAAATCCAGTCTTGTTGATTAGCAGATTTGCTTCGAAATGGGGAAAACAGTGCATTCATTCTATTATCCTGATTCCAACAATCTGGCATTTTTTCAGTAGGTAATGGTGAATTCGCATTTAATTCACTGTTTTGCAGCATTGTTCCTTTGTTTCTTCTTATTTTTATTATTATTGTTATACACTAATTCTAAAAACGACGTTTCAGTAACATTTATATCATGTTATATAGGTTATAAAATCATATTAAGTTTGTAATTTGTAAAATTGTGATAAAATTGTAATAAATAATTTTGATCTATCTTAATATTATCTTAATTATGATTTTTATTCTATTCCTATTATAATTACATCGGTATTATATTTAATATATTTACAAAAATATACGAGAGAAACGTAACAAGAAAGAAAAGGTTCAATTAACTCGCCATCTTTGACGCTTACTACGTAAACAATTGAAAGGTTAGAAGGTTATTAAATGTTCATCTTATATATATATATATATATATATGTGTGTGTGCATATTATCGCATTTATTCCAAAATGTACAATAATCATTTTTATATATATACATATATACATTTATATATATATATATATATATATATATATATATATATATATATATACATAACACACATACAAATTTATATACGTACTTCGTGCAGCATCGATACATCATAAAATTAAAATAAATGAAATAAAATATAAAAATATTTCATTTTGCTCTATAATTAATTATAAATTCTAAAAGCTTTCGAGAAAGTAATAACGAATCAAAAATTTAACTTATGATCCATTAAGTATTATACGTAAGTATATAAATTTTTTATTAAAGACCTGACTATCTATAACATTAATTCAATCACCATTAACAATCTTTATAAGTTGAACGATATTTAATTGACATAACAACAAAATTCATTTGAATACTGCATTAGTTAATAAAGTTGTCAAGTATACCTATTCATTATAACAGTTTTCATATGAAAATAATTATATCTTTTTATTCAGTCTCGTCGCGTTGAATCTTGAGCACTTTGCATATACTTATTTCTTTACTCATTTCCTCTCTGGACGGATTTATCATATAGTTGCACCATTTGTCATTTTAATTATTTAATGTTATTCTCTTGAATCTTTTAGTACTTGTTTTTGTAAAATCTCCATTTTTTTGTCTAATCGTTGTACATCTTCATATTTTTCTGTTTCGATCGACGGGGCATCGCCACCACCAATTATAGATGATTCTTCTAATTTTTCTTTCACAGCAGTTTTGTTTAAATCTTTGAAAGATTTAATTGTTGAAACTCTAATATTGCACAACTCATCCGACAAGTTTCTAATTTTCCCTTCGTCTGGCAAATTAATATATTGCAATTTTGTATTACATGAAATCGATAACGATGAAGTTAATGTTTCAGATAATTTTGTTACTTTTTCTAATATGTCTGAAAGATATATATATATATATATTTTTTTTTTTTACAGAAAATATAATGTCGTTGAAAGTTTTTTTTTATTTATTTGATGTGTTACCTGTTAAATCTATTGTTTCAGAGGAAAAATTAATTTCACTTTGTGGCGTGAAACTTTCTCTACTAAATAAATGTTGCCTAATGTTAAACAAATTTCTAGATTTTACTTTTTTTTGCATGTGATGCTCTTCGGTATCTTTTATAATTTTTTGTGGTGTTTTATACATTATAGTTTGTTCCATACGTATGATACGTCCAGCTTTTATGTATGGAATTAAAGAAGATAAATCTGCTTGAGTCCTAGGTACACTATTAGCTGGTTGTATTGATAACGGTGGTTTATAATTTTGCACTATAATATTAAATAGATTTTTAAAATATGATAATTTAGTAATAGTAATAGATAGTGTTTCTGATAAAAACCTGTGTATGGTGTCCTGATATAAGTTAAGGTTTTTTCATCTTGTGGCAAGCCGTATACTGTAGAAGGATAATTTAGACTGGAATCTAGAATTAAATAAATTAAATATAAAATTAAAACATTCGACAGTACCGAAAACTTTAATTTTTACATTATTACCATGAAGCATATCTCCTTGTCCCATGCTTGCTTTGCCATAATTAGTACTTATTAATATTGAATTATTCATAACAGTGACTAAAGCAGGCTGTAATCGTTTTATTACATTCAATATCAGTTCACATCTTTTAATAACTCGCAGTTGTTGCGGTTCGGTTGCATTTTCTACAAGAAGCTTTTTTGCACTTGCATCGGTTTCGAATATAGCTAAAAAATACATAATATTATTATTATGATTTACAAATTATATCATAAATGTTCATTACTAATATATATTACCTGCTTTTAGTTCTCTAATCATCATGATCGTTTGTCTATCAATATTATCACTTCCAATGTCATTTACAGTTATAGTTAATTGACTAGACAATGAAACTGCTCGTAAAACAATGCCTTGCACTTGTTGTTGAGTTACAGCTTCTCTATTGTCGAAACAATCAGACATAATACGTATACGCTCTTGAAGATCGTCTAAAACTACCTACATAGTAAGTCATACTGATTTATTCTAAGTTATTTATAAAATATAGATACATATTTATTAAAATTACCTGACAATAAGCAGCAGAATCAATAATTAGATTTACAGTATTATGCAATTTATTCATCTCTAATTGCCATTGAGAAGTTAAAAGTTTTACACTCGCACGCAATTCTTTGTTGTCTGGATGAAGATAGAACGCAGTAATAGCGGCAATTAATTCATTTTCTAATGATTCAAGACCAGCCAAACAATTTCGAATTTTATTGACACCTAAAACGAATTAATTTTATCAATGGATATGTTTATATATACTTCTTATAAACATAATTTTAATAATAAAATTATAACTGTGTAGTGTGACAAAAATAGAACAACACACATAGAAGTATATATTATATGAACAAATAAGCAAATAGAAGTTACATCTAATATTAATTTGGTATAAATCCTTATTTCTGTCACATTGCATAATACATTTTCTATGAGTTGTACGAACGCTCTACATCTCTGCAACATGCATTGGCAAATATTCCAATTTGCATAGCTTTATCCGTAAGCTGATCAAAATCTTCTATAGCACTATGTAAATCGCTTTTAGATCTTTTCTTTGCAGTCAATGAACTTCCACATGTCATAACAAGTTTTCTTAAAGCATTGAAAGAATCACTAAATACTTCCATAACAAGCATTAACACTGAAATATTGACTTTGCGTTCTAAGCGATATAATGCGTCGTTCAAAGTATTCATAAAGAGATTGTTAACGCTAGGATCTGGAGTTTCAGAACAGAGTTGTGATTTTAAATTTTCGTATTCTCCCATTATCGATTGACAAGCTGCTGATATTGCTTCAAAATTTTGGGGTTGACACAATTGTGCAATTGACATTGCATGTGAAAATATATCCTCTATACCCCACCACAATTCTGTACATTCTAGGACTTGTTGTTCTTGAGTTTTTGTTGACATTTCAGCTATAATATCAAGTACCAAATCCATTCTAAAGAATAATAAAATATTTGAAACTAATTGAAATGAAAGTGACTATAATCTTGTAGAAATTAATTTTGCATACGATACCTATAAACAAAATGATTTTCTTTTTCTATAGTTTCGTCTTCTGAAGATGGATTTGGTGCATCCAGAACTTCGAGTATTAATTTGAAACAAAGACACATTCTTTCGCATATATATTTCTTGCAATTCTGCAACAATTATTAAATTATTTAATATTTTTATTTTGTATTACTTTTGCTACAACAAATATATTGTTTGATAACAATGAAATTAAAATCAATCAATATCAAAAATATATCTGTTGCAAATTTTCTAACTGAACTTAAAAAAAACACAAATATTAGCTAATAGATTTACGTAAATTGATGCATTTAATTGATGTTGCTCCTGAATCAGCTGTACTAACATACTAAACGTTGTATGTATCTGAAAGGTGTATAATGCTATTCTTTCTGATAGCAAATTTGAAATTAAATTTTTTCTGTATTTTTGTAATGGTCCAAGTATTTCTAATATAGAAGTACCTAGTTCCTATAAAGAACAAAAAAAATATAAATATATATATTATTTTCTTATTGCTTATGACACATAAATATTATCAGAAATAATTAAACCTTTATGTTTTGAAAATCTTCAATTTCATTAACAGTACCCATTTCTTTAACATAATCAAAATAATCTTGAAGTCTTTGTTTCAGTGGTAAACACTCAAGATTTTCGAGAGCTTTTAAAGCCATTGTAAACTTTTCCAATAATGTTCCTATTGCATCTTTGCTCGTATGACTATTAATGTTTTCTACCTAAAAAATTATTGCTTTACTATTAACACAAAATTTATCATAAAATAAACATACCAATTCATTAGCGACAAATTCATTTGATAAACAAAATTCCTCAACCGTATCAGCAATTTTTGTTTTCATTTCTTGATAATCAGTGATATCATCTTTGGATAAGTTTTCAAATTTTTCAGCTAAAATACGTAACTGATCACAAAAAACTGATTTTATATTTAAAACATCGGATGTTCCAGCTTTGCTATTCCCTATCGAATGCTTCAAATTATTTATCTGAAAGTACATTATAAAAAATATAGTTTTAATATTTTATATCTTATAGGTATTGTTTGAATGTATACTAAAGTAAATATTTTAATAATTAAAAATGAAATCGTCATCTTTTTTACTTGTATTTCAATAGGATCCAAAATTTTTTGCATACGTTTGGTTTTTAAAGACATATTTATTGTTATTTTTGTCAATTTATTTCACAATATTTTATTTCATTCAAACGTTGAAACCGTCGATTGTAAACAAGGTGAAGTAAGCTACTGATTGTACAACTACACTAATACAAAAATATATATTCAAAGACGATCTTAATAACTCTACATATATGTATATAAACAAGATATAATTTCATAATTTATTAATCAGTTAATTCGTTAAAAATCTATATCTAATGTAAATTTTATTTAAAACTCAAACATATGTATATATTATTTCTTTGAAACTATATTTTAACTCCACCTAGCGATAAAAGATTAAAGTTAATGATCAAATTAAAGGTGCATCTATAGAAAATTATATAATAATGAAATAATAGACATATATTACATATTTATATTATTGATTAGATGAAAAAAACAATTATTTGTAAAGGAATAAAGTTAATTCAAAATATTATTTTTATTTTACCGAGTATCATCGCATAAATATATTTTTACGAATATTGGATTAAAGTCAAATAATGATACCATGCTAAATAAGGTTAATACATAATACATTTTTGTATATACTTTTTTTTTATATATTTTTTATATTAGATAATTATATTTACATAGTAGATCTAAGATACTATTTCTCGAATTGATCGATAAATAAATCATACATAGATTTGTACTTCTCAATCATCAGGTATATTCTCCAGTCCCATTTGCTAAAATAGAATAAAAGTAATATACATATATAAATATCTTTAAAAACCTATGCGTTTTTCTACGAATATAAACAATATTTTCACATGTTTTTACCCCTGCATTCATTGGCTCATTACACAAACGTTTGTCTCTCGAAAACATAAGTAAATCCCATTTTTCCGATAGCAATCTACGTACTGGCTAGAAAAATTAAATAAATTGAAGTTTATAATAAATGTGATATATATATATTATTATTATATAATTATATTTTATACATATAATATTTATGAAATTATTGTAATATTATTTATAAAATAAATAAAACTCCTATCGTAACTTTTTATTTATCAAGATATAAAAGTGATAATTAGGATTATAATATTAGTATGTCATTAATATTAAATAATCTAATAGTATTATTCAAAATATTTATTGAGATAAATTTTACTCACAGTGCCATAAAAATGTATAGATAAATAATGTGAAGCAACATGCGGTAATCCTAAACCAGCTAATATTATTGCTATTGGCGGTAATATTTCATACCACATTTTGTCTTAAATATCAAGAATTGTTTATTTAACTTGATAAAAGTATATTCTAATAAGTTTCTCAAAAGTAATCCACTAGACTGTGAAGAATCGTACAGAATACCACATTAAGAACACAAAATATAAAAAGCACAATTTCACTGATAGCACTGCTACCAACTTAAATTAACAAATGTCATACGGTGATACATTCAAAATGGTTAGAGCAGGCGATTTAGAATTGTTTTTTTTAAATTATTATTATATAAAATACATTATTCAAACTTTTTAATTAATATTATATATATATATATGTGTATATGTATATGTTTATGTATATGTTAAACATCTTTTCATTATAATTTTCATGGAAAAAATTTTGATTTTACTTTTTAATCTTTACTTATTACTTATAAAAGTTTGAAATCTTTTATGTAATTTTATTATATAAAATTATGATTTTCATTGTTTATTCGTATTTTTAATAATTTTATTCTTTGCATTATCCAATAATGTAATTATATATATATATATATATATATATATATCTTACCTTTTTTAGTAATCACCTGTATTATCGGTTATTTCAACAAAATCGTCCTTTGGTTGACTGAAAAAAATGAAAAATGATAAAAAAAAAAAAAAAGCTAATATTATAAAAACGTATATTAATTAATTGCAACTTTTTATTCATATTTTTTAAACAAAAACACAACAAAATTTGAAGTACACTTAACTCCCTTACATTTTTATTTAAATTCAACTAAAATATAATTGTATAGTAACGTGTGACGTTTTTTTTTTTTTTTTTTTTTTATACGACGTTAATATATTAATGCCTGCCACGTATTCGTACGAATGTGTATGCACGTTAGTTGTAACCACGAAAGGAATAAATGAGAGTTTTTCACTTTTTTTTTTTACTTTTTTTTTCTATTTTTTTTTTCTTTTTTTTCCTTTTTTTTTTTCTTTTAATATACATCATCAGTTATATATCATGCATGCCCAGAGATAAAATCATTGTCGCCAAGTATTTATTTTCTGTTTTTATTCGCGACTTCGAGCGTAATAATAAGTCTTAAGAGCTCTTTGACAATATTGTTCATTGTTGATCATCAAGGAGTTTGCTTTGAACTGGTTACAAAAATGGCCGCCACAGAATAAGGCACACAATTAATGCAACGCGCATTTAATATAGCGGTATTATTCGCTCCTATCATTAATATACTTTAAAGTGAATGAATTACTATAAATTTTATGGATTATCCTGGAAATAATCGATGCTTCTCATGTACCTTGGAAAAATTAGGATATTGCAGGAACGACTGTCTTCTCTATATATCGCTGTTGCTCCGACATAATGATTATTATTATTTTATTATATTAATATTTAATTATATTATTATTATTAATAATAATTATTATTATACCTGACGTCAATATTGTGTATGTATGTGTGTATATGTATGTGTGTTTGTTTGTTTTGTTTGTTTGGATGAATAGCGCTTTTAAATATATACATTTCTTTGAGGTATGTTTGTATATTATGATATGAGATACATGCGATATTAGTGAACCATACGTTTCCTTTTTCTATTTCTTTTTTTTCTTTTTCTCTTTCAATCGAGATATATATCTGTACCAACCTGAGGTATTTTCCCTTTTTTTTTTCCCCAGCTATATGAAACTAATATATGAATTATGACATAACAACAGCTTCTTTTATATTTTATCTTCTTGCATGTGTAAGTACACATATGCGTATACAAGCAAAGTGTGCATCTATAGTTTCAACTGTATGTATGTATCTATTTCAACGTAACTTTCATCGCTTTTTATTTCTTTCGATTAAACCAGTATAACATGCTCATTGCTGAGCAAAAAACTTATGTACATTTTATATTTTACTTATTTTTTGTTGTTCGTTTTTTTTCTTTTTTCTTTTTTTTTTCTTCAATGGCTAGGATAAAACTACGTAATCTACTGCATTTTTGTCTTTCCTATAGATTATTATATATACCTAGCCAAACATAACGCCATAATCATGTCAATATCCATACGTCGCTACTCGAAGCATACAAGAAATAATTGTTTCTGAGCTTTTCTGTCTATTCTCTCTCTCTCTCTCTCTCTCTCTCTCTCTCTCTCTCTCTCTCTCTCTCTCTCTCTCTCTCTCTCTCTCTCTTACTTTTTTCTTTTTTTTTTTTCTTCATTTAATAATAATAATAATAATAATAATATAAGCCCCTAGCTTAGGAAATTGAATGAAGCGATAATATAATGAATTTGCGAATATAATCTACAGTTTCTATTGTATATTTTTTTTTTTTTTGTATCTTCCATTAACAAATTTAAGGTATTCCCTAAGCGAAGGTCCTTTAACGTGGTACACGAAGTTGATTATTTAATTTTCATGTAAAATTCGTGGATTAAACGGAGTTTGTAAAAAATATGTCTTTTAGTCATTTTAAGACATAATATAATTCGTTTCGTGCTTACAATGTACTTTTTTTTTTTTTTCTTTTAATAAGAAGAAGAAAAATAATCAATGTGTCGTCTTGCCTGTCTCCATTATTTTTTTTTTTCTTTCATATTTTTTACTTTCCTTTTCTTTTCTTTCTTCTCCGTTCTTTCTTTTTTTTTATTCTTTATCATATTTCATTATCCATCCATTAAATAAAGATGATGTGACCTTATTCAATTAATCTTGTTTCCTGGCAAGATCTTAAAAAATGCACGACCTGCATATTTGTCATCGTAGAAATAAAAATATGTGCAGCAAGTAGTTTCTAACCATTGTGGTAATCGTTAATTCATTGAAAACTGTTAACGTTAATATTTTTTTTTTCCTTTTTCTTTTTTTTCTTTTCTTTCTTTCATAATGCATAACATTCGACTGAAGTATTTATGAAATATGACGAGATGAAAAAAAAAATGTATAGAATTATTTACAAAAAAAGAATAAAAACAAAAAGAAAGAACAGTTGTATACGTTTTATCTCCGTTTGTCGCATTTCATTCGAATCATTTCTTGAATCATGATTTTTGTTGTATAATAAAAATATATTAATGCACAGATTATATAATATAATGAATGAATTTCGATCTTCCACTCTCGAGGCAATGATGTAAACATATACATTGATATATATAGTATTCGTGGAAGAAGTAGTGTCATAGAAGTATGATCGAGATGTGCAGCCTTAGAGCTATCATTATTCTTTGTTTTTTTTTTTCCAAGACATTATATTTATAACGAAGTTATAACTGTGTTTCCAGTTATTTAAGATTATTATTGAATGCTACAATAAACCGCTCTGCATGATACAGGTCTTTCACTTTCTTGACGATTTAATATGTTATATGGTTGAAAAATTGAATTGGGTGATTTATCCATGTAGCAATTTTCATATACTTCGAAAGCTTCTTCGATAGGTATCTTAAGTTCGTCCACAATACTCGTGTCTTTTTCATTTGGCATTATTATTGGAATTTCTTCTCCTTGGTAACCTTTGATCAATTCAACAGAACTATTTGGCACCATTCTGGATTTATTAAATGGCTTAAGATCGAGCTCATTTATTTTGCTTTCGTATGGTTCCTCTTCTATACTCGTAGCACTTTCACGTGCCAATCTGTAATACTTCTGTACATGTTCTACAATAGCTGGTTCAGTTTGAAAATTATCTTCTTCCGCGGCTTCTCCTTCATAAGATGTACCATGACTTTGCAACATTCTCTTTGGAGTTATTATCGGCTCAATAGTTTCTGCTTCCCAACATTCTAATACATCAGGTTCCTCTATACTAACCAATGAAGCCACTGTACTTTCGATTTCATCGTCATCACTATTACTGTTTTTCTTATCCATGTCTTTTCTTTCTATTTTATTAGTACCAACTATTGTCTTTTTCAGATTTATCTCATCTGTTTGATTAATATTTTTAGATACATTTTCTACATAATGTACGAACTGTGCAAACGGTGAAATCTGAAGCAATTTGCCGTCTATCGAGACAACTATTTCTCCTTTCTCAAAAGTTCTTACGTTCATAGTATCTTCTGCAATTCCTTCATCCTCAGTACTCACATCTATACGTTGTATCTTAACGTTCATACATTCAGCTGGTCTTTTATGAATTTTTCCAATTCTTCTCGCACGTCTCGCGTTGTTCCTTTTTAAATTCATCCGAGAGCTGTTAGCAACCCTCATACCCGTAACGCTATCCTTCTCAGTAAATTCGCAAATCCCAACAACATTCTTTTTCAGCAGATTCCTATTTCTCAATTTGTTGGTGAATTTTTCTTCTTCTTCTTCTTCGTCTTCTTGTTTGTGGTCTTCTTCTTTTTCCTGTTGTTGACAAGAATCCGAGGAAGAAAATATTACTTTGTTGAAAATATTTTCGTCTTTATTTACAACACGCCTAGCGAATCTCTCTCCTGACATTTTCTTAATACCTCGAACATACATTGCTGTTTTCCTTTTAGAAATTGCTGATATATCGTTGTTGCATGTCTTATCGTTCTCAATGCTGTTATTAATCTTTGCGAATTCGCTGCAGCTAGCCATGCACGACAATTGATCATAATCGTCGGCGTTGCTATTAAAAGATAGTGCAGGTATGGGGTTGCCTTTCAAGTTTTTTGGCGGCTCTTCGTCCAAATCATCCTCATCCACGCTATCGCTGTCCGAAATAATCACTGACGTCTTTATAAATACATCTGGCGAATTTGCTCTGCGTAACCATTCAGTTACAGCTTCGGTTATATGATATTCAGCTTGATGCGTTTGAGTTTCAAAACCAGAATCATCGTTAGAACTTTCAGCAACGTCCTTCCTAACAGTCTTATTATCGACATAGTCTCTCGCAGTCTCAAATACGGACTCATTCGAAACTCGATCTTCCATTTCGATTTTATCATTTTTTTCAACAATAGACACGGATTCCAATTCGATCGTTAATGTAACTTTCTTCGTTTGTGCCTTCTCAATTTCATTTGTTACATTTTCATTGGATTCGACTATTGCATTATTACTCTCATTTAAGTTTAGAACAGGTGTTGTTTCTCTCAAAAACTTTGTATCCTTCGAATTGTACTTCTTCGAAAATAATATCGTTTTTGTTCCCTTTGTATCAAACGATTCAGAAGTTTTTTCTTCTTCTTCTTCCTTCTGTCGAGTATTCAGATTGCTAGTTATTATCATTTCTTCCTCGAGATCCAATTCTCTGGACAATCTCGATGATGACGATGATGATGACGATGATGACGATGACGATGATGACGATGAGGACGAGGACGACGATGATGATGATGGCTGCGATAATATTACTTTTTCAGAAAGTAATGTATAATTTTCTAAAGATGAAATTTTCATCATTTCCGTATCGTCATTATCTTCATCCGTACCTCTTTGTCCATTTATTAATATATCCTTGTCACGTTCCGCGTATAATATAGATGAAAATTTATTAACGTCGCTAGTAGATCGTTCGCATATTTTTTCATTGGCACTGAACGAATTATTAGCAACATCTTTAATATCAGTCCTTTGCGACGCTTTACTTTCAGTCCTTGCGTCATTAATTACGTAGTCTGTAGTCTCCTCTTTCGTTGAGTTGACTGTTTTGTTATCAGAGAGGTAGTCGGTCAGTCTATTCTCTGGATTAGTCAAAGAGTCAACTTGTTTGTTCGACGACGACGACGACGATGACGATGACGCCGAAGACAACAAATCTTCCATGAATGATTCCATATTCGAATCGTATATTTCATTTAATGTCGTCGTTTCCTGTTCTTTGTTATTCGTATCTTTACAGGAAGTATTATAATACTTCGTTTCACAAGAAGTATCATTACCATTCTCATGTATTTCTTCTGTAAATGTACTCGTTCGAAGTAACTGATCGGTTTCTTCAAAAGTATGCTGCTGCTGTTGCGCTTGTGGTTGTTGTTGTTGTTGTTGTTGTTGTTGTTGTTGTTGTTGTTGTTGTTGTTGTGGTGGTGGTGGTGGTGGTGGTGGTGGTGATGGTGATGGTGATGGTGATGGCAATGATGATATCGCAAGTGAAACAGCACGTTCGACAACCGGACGAAGTTGAAATTCTTCGCACTCAGGATTAAGAGGTCGATTCGTCATTGTCGTGGTCGTCGTAGTTGCCGTCTCGATCTCCGTCGTTGTCGTCGTCGTCGTCGTCGTCATCGTTGTTGTTATTGTTGTAACCAAAGCTGGACACGTAGTAGACCAAGATGTCCGGGAAGACGATAAACCATTTTCTCCTTCGGAACTGTATTCCTCATCGTCGTCTTCCGCGTTAACCTTAAGAAATTTTAAGAAAGAAAAAGAAAAAAAAAAGATATTACTTTATATCGCAAACGATTCTCTTATTACATTATTAAAGATAATATTTGCATTTATAAGTAATAAAATATGTGATCATACCAACGCGAGTCTTCTTTGCTTTCTACTCTTTTTCTTCTTCCTTCTTTTGGTGTACGTTCCCATCATTGTTGTAATATCGGTGGTTCTGATCATTGGTCCTCCTTGTATGGTTACACCTTTTGATACAAAAGAAAACATATTATTTAGAAAGAATAAGGAAGAAAAAAAAGAAAGAAAAAAAATAAATAAATAAAAATGAAAACATATTTTCAATGGATAATCATTCGAAATATTACAAATTAAAATAATCAAAGGAGTATAAACGGAGCAGTTCTATGAAGGACGATCAAAAGATGAATATGTGCGGTTTCTTTTTTTTTTTTTTTTTTTTATATAATAACTCATAAAACACCTTTAATGATTGGTACAATCCTCCTGTGGTATCAATCAGGAGGACTTGCTTGAGGACACGTGGAATGAACTTGGCTTTTTAATGCTTTTCTCGAGAGCTCCTGGCCTCGCATCGACGCCAACGAATATATTTTTATCTAGACTCTATTTTAGTTCTAGGAGCGCAATGCGTAAATTACTTTGCCAAGTCTCTTTACCGCCGTTTCCTCCTCTTCTTCTTCTTCTTCTTTTTCTTCTTTTTCTTCTTCATCTTCTTCTTCTTCCTCATCTTTATGTTCTTCTTATTCTTCTTCTACTTCTACTTCTACTTCTACTTCAAGGAGGCAACATATTTCAGACGTGCTAAATGTCGACGTAATTTACCGCGAGACTTCTCGTGATCATCGGCATGAGTCAATGGACTTCTAAGATAAGAGAGATGATAGTTTCTCTTTTTGATGTGTGCAATGTGAATCGGCAATGAGAGAACGGGCGTGATCGTAAAACGACGAGAGATAATTACATTTATTTGTATACATTTATATGTAGTGAATGAGATGACATAGGTGATGTACCAAAAACATCGTTTTTTGAATACATTTTTTTTTTTTCATTTTTTTTCTTCTCCTTATTTTTTTTCTTTTTTCTTTTTTTTTTTTCTTTTTTACAAATACGTGACATCGAGTGTGTAATAGGAAGCCGTGCTCTCTTTAAATACGATCGCAAATCAATTGGATTTTTTTTTTATTTTGTTTTTAAATCATTAATCTCTCATTATTAACAAGTAAACATTTGTAAGATATATTAGCTTAAAGATTTGGATAGCTTAATGGTCAAAAACAATCGTCTTAAAAATGAAAATTAATTTTGTTCAAATTAATTTCAATTCTTCGTATCATCAAAAGATTCAGAAATTTTTTTCAGAAATATCTTACATTAATACAATCCAATAACTTTTCCATTACGATCGTATCTAAGACAAGCTATTTCCCATTTGCGTATTATTACCTTTTACCTTGAATGGGGTAGAGGCACGGTGGTAATAAAACAGCAATGATGTCGATGGACGGGACAGCAGTCATGTATCTGGGTATATTCCTTTCCCCTGGCCGCGCATCCAACCGACACTGTTCTCGTTTAACATTAGAAATAGGTACAATCAAACGTACTATGCCCAATCTTGACGTATTACAGGGAAGGAAGGAGCCGATATTTTCTCTCTCTCTCTCTCTCTCTCTCTCTCTTTCTCTCTCTCTCTCTCTCTTTTTCTGTTTTTTTTTCTTCTTTTTCTTTTCCTCTATTTTTTTTGGCTTTTACGATATTTTTATACATCCGTAGAATTAAAAATATACTTCGACTATACAAACATTTTGTTAACGATCAATTCATTACGAGAGAAAAAAAAAAAGATAAATAAACTTCTTATAAAAGAATTATAATCTGAATAAAGAGTATATTAAATCTAAGCTTAATCTGATATGTACATATATACACACACATATATACATATGTATACACACACACATATATATATATATATAATTTTCCAAGATCATGATGTAATATGTAAAGATACTAGCCGATTGTGCAATATTACATAAACGATCGTAAAAGAGACACGTTTCGCGTTTCCTTCTCAACATGCGCTTTTTTTTCCTTTTTTCCTCTCTCACTCTCTTTCTCTCCCTCCCTCCCTCCCTCTACATTTCTCTTTATCTATCTCTGTCTTTTTTAATCCATAACAAGACTCTTTATTTCGTCCGTTGTTCCGTCCATCCGTCCGTGAACAGAACGAAGCTAATCGTACGAAGAGCGAATAAAAAAAAACTATTCTTAACGATTGAAAATAAGTCAAAAAAACGATATCAATCTTTGGATTCGCATAAACAAGACAGAGCGATTAAATTGTTAACCAACCATTAATGTTGACCAGTGGTGGACCGAACATGTAGTGACCAGGATACATATATGGCTGTGGTATGGCTGGTATCACATGTGGCACGTGGTGTATAGGTGGTTGTTGCATCACAATTGGCTCGAGATAAGGAGCACGACTTCCATCATTATTTTCTTCTATCATTGGACATTGATCCACTACACCATAAAACTCTTCCGTTCGATTATCCTCTTTGACGATTTCTCCTTTTATCACATTAGTTCCTTCTACTTTTTGTTCTTCGACTTCCTCAGCAATGCTTCCATTGCAACTTGCACTTCCTGTACCATTTTCATTCCAAACACCATTAGAATTTTCCACTGGTACTGAAGCATTATTATGTTCTTCCGTTACTACCGCATGACTTTCTGTACTTTGACCACTCTGTTTAAAGAATTATTTAACGTTACTAATTATATTAATTTTTTTTTCTTCTTCTTTTTAAATTCATATAAATATAATAATATCGAATAGAGTCAGTTTCACCTGATAATGAATCTCATTGGAGTCCATCAAGCAATAAGATTGTCCAGATAGTTTTGGTACAAAAGCTGGATTGATCCATTCTATTGGTCTTAAAGGTACCGAACCACATGGGAGAGCCGCAAGGACGCTAGGTCCAATTTGGGCAGGAATTGGTGCAGGTCCAACCAACATCATCGGATATTCGTAATAATAACCACTGGCATGATCATAAAATGTTCCATAACTAATTTGCGCTGTCGGATCAATTGCTGGAGGATATTCTCCAACTGTGCTATCCCTATCCAATAATTGTTGATCCTCTGTTGTTTCGCTGCCATCTAAAATTCATTACATTATAAATAAGATATTAACTATTTGGATGATAATAATTTTAGGTATGTGGACGATGTAGAGCGAACGATAAAAATTAAGAAGAAAAAGAAAAAAAGATGATAAAAATATAAAGTATAACGAATTACCTCTTTCCTAAGATAAATATAAAGACAAAAAACAGAGTTAATTTAATTTTATACATTATACGTAAGATATTTGGACAAACAAAAAATGGACAATAAAAAAGATTTGATGAAATGCTTTACGCTTCTACCTATACCTCTACCTGCGGTTGAATGCGAGGCTGACTGACTCTCAGTGGTTGATGGTGTAGCACTGGTACTAGTATTACTAGCCCATGGTTTTTTACGGGACAAATAACCCTTCTTGAAGAGAACATCTTGTCTAGGTGTCGTAATCCTCGTATATTCGTCCTCATTGAATATAATTTTAGGTTGGGAAAGAGAACCTGTCGATTCGTCTCTCCTCGATCTCGATGTTCCACTCGCATAATTACTGCTACCACTGAATCCAACAACGCTTCTTCGTGGTTTATATTCAGCCTGTCCATTTCGATCAAAGTTATGAGGGCTCGTGTCATTTTGCTGACCTTTTACGTATCCGTTTCGCAAGCCTTCTTCTTCGTCCTCCTCTCCTGGTGGAGCTATAGAAAGAAAAGATCATTCAATAAATTCGTTCATTTGGTTCCAAATAGATTCGAATTTTTTATAATTTTCTTTTTCTATCGCAACCATCGTGTATATATATATATATACATATATATATATATACATATATATATATATATACACGACAAATACGTTTGGAAGAATCGTCGCGACTGGGAGTTACATACACGACGATAGAAAATAAAGTATGTTAGCCTAGATTTCGTGCCAAACGAACGTTTCGAAAACGGTAAGTGTGACAATCACCGAAGGTTCGTTACTACACTATCTTTGTCGTTTTTAACGTGCCATTATTTTGAATGATGAACAAGATTTATCGTTACCATTAAGTTTCTATAGAAAATTTCGTATTACTATTAATCATACCTCACTTTCTTTCTATATTAAGAAATATATATATATATATATATATATATATATATATATATATATTAGTGTTAAATAATACAAAAAAGAAAAGAAAGGAAAAGAAGGAAAAAAATTTAAAAAAAAAGAAAGAAAGAAAAGAATTACAAAAGATGCTCTTTTTTTCATATAGATCAATAATGCGACCAATTTCACGGGCATTAATTCATGACAATTTGAAAATCGTACCATCTTGGTACCTCGCTAAAAGCAAAACGTGATTGGAGGAGCCGATCACGTGGGTAACCCTCCGTTGTCGGCGCCACTGCATGACTTATTCCCTCCGCCCTTTTTAAACTTTTCCACAACGTAGAGAAGAATCCGTCTCGCGCACTCAACACGACGTATAAGTTTCTAATAACGCATCTACTTCTCGGTTTTCGATCGATGCGTTCTCCAATGACAAATCATTATTTATTTATATATATATATATATATATATATATATATATATATATAATATGAAGAAAAATGAAGATGGTGGGGAGGCGAATGAACGGATTTAAGAAATAGGGGGATGGGAAGGAGGGAAAGAAGAGACGAAAAGAAGACAAAATTATTAAAAGAGATCGATCTAACCAGGAACTACAAATTTCGAAGTCAATTTTTCTCCTTTTTTCCTTTCCTTTTTTTTTTTTTTTTTTTAATTAATTAATTTTTCTTTCATTCGACCGGATACTTTTATTCGATTTTCTTCTTTAAATCTTTCCCACTCCCTCTCTCCCTCCCTCCCTCCCTCTCTCTCTCTCGCTCTCTCTTTCTCTCTCCCTCTTTCTGTTTCTCTATCTGTCTCTCTTTCTCTCTCTTTCCTCTCTCACCGTTCGTTTGTCTCGATCGTTACGGATGAGTGATAAGGGACGAAAATACACGTAACGAGGATGCAGCGCAATAATGTTTCGCACGCGATGCCCTGAGATCGACTAAGGCTGTGCGCGGAAAGGGGTGAGCGTAGGGAGTCGCGGGGGAGAAGAGGGCGTAAAAAGAGAGAGAGAGAGAAGAGACGAGGGCGTTCGTAGAGTGTCGTGCGCTTCGGCGGACGTAGCCGATTGGCTACTGTGCTAGCATAGGACTAGAATAGCATTGGAATTAGAATAGAAGACAAGCGATGGTGCGATAGATCCCATCGGTAGAATTCTCGAGTTCAACGAAGGACAACAAATCCTCATACTATATTTCTCACATATTATTTTTCTAAGGCCACTTTTATAATTTTTATCAATTTTTTTTTTATCATTTCTTGATTATGTTTTTTCTACATTTATAAAAATTTTTTACATATATATATATATACATATAAATTTAAAAATACTATTAGAAATAATTAGTATAATATTTAGTAATATTTAGATTATATATATATATATATATATATATATATATATATATATATAAAGATAACTATAACCATTTCTGGTGTAAATGAAACACTTGTAACTTTTTGAAACTAAATAATACGATTAGAATGTGAGTGCTAATCGATGCTAATATACTTCCACGACGCAAGTCTGTCGAATATTCGTTCGTTTCTCGAACCAAAGATTAATTTTTGATTATGCTTTTTGCCTTTCTCAGGTTCTTGACCTTCTTACATTTATTTTATTTCCTTCTTCCAACTTTTTTTTTTTAATCATTTTACATTATCATCCTTTGTGATATATCATTTTTCCTACTTTCAAATCTTTTTCCTTCCTGTGTCACGAAAAGGTCGATGCTACTACGACGTACGTTTCCTTTATTCCCTTTGACTTTTCTTGTTTCAGCCTAGATTCTCAGTATAGTTGATTAAAGTACATATTCTATAGATATATATACTACATACTTTGCTGTGAAACCGTATTAAATTGAAAGAGTACGCGCTTCATTGATCGATCCGTTTGCAGGTAATACTGCATACACACACATATACCATCCTCCCCTCAACACCACCTCCCCAATCCCTCACACACACATACACACACACACACACACACACGGATATCCATCGAGAGTTGTATCTATTTATTTAAAAATTAATAAAACAAAGGGGATAAATAAAAAAAAAAGAAAAAGAAACCGTCAACTTTCTTTTTTCGTAAAGATCGAAGAAAAAGAAGAATGTTTGTAGTCTTTAGAATCTTTAAATATTAATATCTTTTGAAGTTCTTCCGTTTACGATTAAACTTCGTAAAACTGTGATAATGGAGGACAGGGCAAATAACTCTGAGAGATTAAAATCGCATCATTCTAAAGTTTCTCATAATAAAATCGTAAAATTCAATATCCCTCGAAAAAAAAAGAAAAATAAAAGCAGAAAGAATTAAAAACGGGCGAGAAAAAAGAAAAAGAAAAAAAAAATTATTTATAATCGTACGTTTGAGAATAACGATAGTAAAACGGTAATATATCATGAGAATTCTTTACGATAATTAATGAATTCAAATTACGATTAATAAACGAGATATTATCGCATACTCAATATACATAATAATCTATTTTATAGTGTAAGGTAAAAGCGACCATGCACGGATATATAGATAAAAGCGCTCCTCCCTCCTTCCCCATTTCCTGCCTCTTTTCTTCAGAAACGTTTACGCTTAAGAATTTAACGATAACGTTACAATTGTATAAAAAACTTGCCCTCCGTTATCGTCGGTTACTTACGCAACACGTCTTTCCGAGGCCTATCTTTATCTACTCACGTTCGGTTTCTAGAATTCGTGTTAAAATCGGACACATTACTATACACAATTACTATAAGTCGAAGGAATGTCTCGAGATTATGATCCATATTATTATACCTAGTGATTAAATTAACATACCACATACATATATAGGCTTATCGATTGGTAACCGATGATATTTGAATCGATACTCCTTTTACCTTTTGACCTTTATCTCCCCTCCTCTTTACTCTCATCTCTTTTTCTCTCTTTCTTGTTGATATACCATCTATCTCTTTTTCCGTAATTACAACATCATTACAACATCAACAATACTGCATAAACTTTCCTCTTATCGTTCTCTCATTCTTATCGTTTTTCTGTTTCATTTTCCTTTTCATTCTTTTTCACAGCTCTCTTAGCTCCTTCTATTTAAAAAAAAAAAAAAATATTGCCATTTCGTTTTACGATCGATCGTCAATCGTTGCTCTTGCGAAATCATACTATTGTTATAACGCTATGTACGTATATACCTTTGAAAATTGCTAATATTACATAGAAATTTAAAGCATCGGTCGAAACAAATCATGCAATAGAGTACTACTTATATACGATTGTACACATATACACACGCGTCAGTGCTTACGCATACACTTATACGCATCATGAATACGGTTATCGAAAATAACATACATACATGTATATAGATATGTGTTGTGTGTGTGTGTGTGCGTGTGTGTGTGCATGTGTGTGTATGTGAGAGTCATTCGATAAGAAAGGTACATGACGTTCAAAGCACCGAACACGATCGATGCTCGATTATTACGTAATTGATCTTACTAAATCTTATCGATGGCTAATTTCGACGAGTTGAAATTATTTCAGGGATGATTACCATCCGAGAACGAGAAGTAGATGCACACAATAACAAAATATTCTTTATGTAGAAGAAAAGATTAGAAAATTGGACAGAAAGAGAGAGAGAGAGAGAGAGAGAGAAATAGAGAGAGAAAGTGAAAGAAAAGAAGAATAAATGAAAACAGAAGTTAAATAATAATAATAATAATAATAACAATAACAATAACAATAATAATAATAATAATAATAATAATAATAATAATAATAATAATAATAATAATAATAATAATAATAATAGTGAATAATAAGAAAAAATGGTAGAAAAAAAAGTAAAGAAATAAAAATGAGAAGCAAGAAAACACACACACACACTCTCTCTCTTTCTCCTTTTTTTTCAAATACACTATTACTATCTCTGTTTCCTTTCTATTTCTTTTAACTTTAATCAACGTACGTAGCTCTTAAACACTATTTTCTTCCTTCTCTCTCTCTTTCCTTTTTTTCTCTCCATTTTCAACGGGGAAATAAAATGAAAGGGAAAAAGAAAAAAAAACGAAAAAAAAAGGACAGATTATGTCCGTTGGAAAATTCCGTTATTAAGAGTTATTAACTCGTCAAGTCCAGGGAAAAATAAAGAGAGAAAGAGAGAGAAAGAGAAACGAAAAGAAATACAAAAAACGAAATGCGAAGTGGCGTATACGGTGGTGGTGTACGCCACACTGGTTGCCCCCTAACAACAAAATCCTCCTCTCTTTTCTCTTCTCACCCTTCGATTTTCTTCCACGAGCCCCGGCGACTGTGCGAAGCAAAACGATTTTCCATCTACCGCACCCTCCACAGTCCTTCTCCTCTCCTTCTCCTCCTTCGCTTCCACCTCTTCTTCCTATTTCTATTACTTCTCTCCCTCTTTCCCTGATCCCTAAGTAAACGCGCGCGCGCGCAATGCTCCACCAAATGCACGTCCTCCTCTCGCGCCCTCCCCACCCCATCCATCCACCCTCTTTTCCTCTACGGTATACCGACGACAATGTTGCGCAATTCTAGGATTATTTCTATGAACCTCGAAAAAGACT